CTATCTTTCTCTGTGTGTGTATAATCTAGTTCATCTCTATCTCTTAAAAACGTACTGTAAATAGACAGTGAGGAGGTCTCAAAATTGAACAGGAAAAGAAGAGTGAGATGGATTGTGTTTAGAAAATTGCAAAGTTTTCTTAACGAGTCCAAGTTTTACCCTGGAAGAAAGGACTGTCTTTAAAAAAAAATAATATTCTTCCAGATTATTATGTTTGTGATTCAGGGAACACTATCACCTCTGAAGAACTCAAGTTGAGGATCACCCAAAGGGCAAATGGATGGTGGGCATAAGCAGCTGCAAGATATTACAAAGGAGGAACTGTGGAGGACAGGATGAGTGGAGTAAAGGATGCTAACTGTGTGGCCTTGGACAACTCACTCATGCTTTCTCTGCCTGTTTCCCCACCTTTAGAAGGATAATGAGCATCTGTCTCAGAGGGTTCAAATAAATAATGTGGTTCAAATAAGATGATACATGTAAAGTGCTTTGCAAACCTAGAAGCAATATAGAAATACGAGATATTACTACTACTAGCAGTTAGACTCCTGCTTAATAAATGCATGTTAATTGATTGTTACTCTACAGGTCTATATATACTATATAGCCCTGGCACTCTATTTCACTGGGTCACCTAGTTGCCCCACTACTACCATTACTACTACTACTACCACTACTAGTACTACTACTAGCAGTTAGACTCCTGCTTAATAAATGCATGTTAATTGATTGTTACTCTACAGGTCTATATATACTCTATAGGCCTGGCACTCTATTTCACTGGGCCACCTAGCTGCCCCACTACTGCCATTACTACTACTACTACTACTACTACTACTAGTACCACTACTAGCAGTTAGACTCCTGCTTAATAAATGCATGTTAATTGATTGTTACTCTGCAGGTCTATATATACTATATAGGTCTGGCACTCTATTTCACTGGGTCACCTAGTTGCCCCACTACTGCCATTACTACTACTACTACTACTACTACTACTACTACTACTACTACTACTACTACTAGTAGTACTACTACTAGCAGTTAGACTCCTGCTTAATAAATGCATGTTAATTGATTGTTACTCTACAGGTCTATATATACTATATAGGCTGGCACTCTATTTCACTGGGCCACCTAGTTGCCCCACTACTGCCATTACTACTACTACTACTACTACTAGTACCACTACTAGCAGTTAGACTCCTGCTTAATAAAATGCATGTTAATTGATTGTTACTCTACAGGTCTATATGTACTATATAGGCCTGGCACTCTATTTCACTGGGTCACCTAGTTGCCCCACTACTGCCATTACTACTACTACTACTACTACTACTACTACTACTACTACTACTA